GCTCACTGGTTTATTATTGTTGGTTAGAATTTCCTTTCTGCCACCAGATTCTCTCCACTGATCTGTGGGGTTTTAAAGCAATAGCTGCTTCTTCAGTGTCTCCTGGCAGTGCTGTTATTTGGAGGATGCATGCTTTGGTAGTGGCATGTTAACAAAAAAAAAACAACACAAACAAACATGGAAACAGAAGGCACACATACCTCAACCTTAGGCATGCAGATGGGAAGGAAACAAGACAAAAGCAAGAGAGAATGGAGGGCGATGAGCAGCGGGAATTTAGAGTCTGATGCTGCAGAAACAGCCTCAGCAGTAGAAAACTGTCATACATACAAACAGAGCTGACCAATAACTGCTCAGAACCACAATGTTGTAGGAAAAAAGATGAAAAAAAACTAAATATACAGTGAAAGGACAACAAAGACCAGGTCATCAACATGGCAAATATGCTCACAGGGAAATACCACTCAATGAAGGAATTTATAGATGTAGCTGCTACTCTGATGGAGACAGTAACTTTGACAGAAGCTCTTCAACAGTGAGGATATAAAACATAGATACGTTAATATTTTGATTAAAATCTCCCTGTAACTGCATCACATCTGGTAATTCTGTTATCAAATCTGCAAAATATATATCATCTCCTTTTGATGTTAAAATATTAAGAGTGGTGGGTGAAGTTCATCTTCCTCTCACCACAAACCTAAGGGAATGGGAGATTCCAAAATTGAGTGGTATTGCCCTTTATGCTGCTGAGAATAATAACCCTCACCTGGTTGAAGTCTTTCTGTCTGAGATAGGTGATGGCTTTGTTGATCTCAAGATCGTTGGCTAGCTCAACGTACTGAGAACTCTTCACCATGTCCACACACCTGACAACACAACATACCATACATGCTCAGTGAAACACTTAAACATCCTGTCAGGTAATTAGATGCTTGCTGCAAATATCACGTAAGATATGTATCCGTAGCTATCTGTTATCCCACTTGTATATCACCAAACCACTATTATTTTATATTTTATTATCTAATAATATTTTTGTATCTAGTATTAACACTGTAAGATAACTCAACAGGAACCAACCAGTCAAATCCAGTGGCAAAAGAAGTCTCAATAGCCGGAGCGATGAGTTTGGCCGAGGTCATGATGTATTTCTCAGCAAGGACTTTTCTATGTGCGGGAACAGGAAATGATAGAAATTCAGGAAGCCACAATCACAAAAACACATTAAACTCACATTTTGTTACAATACTGGTATTTTTGTTCTCTATTCTTCTGTCAGTGGTTTGATAAGGCCAAGACAATTATTAATTTGGTGAAGAGAAATGTTGTTGTGTGAAATGTTTCTTACAGATCTCTCTCCATCTGGTGAAGCTTGTCATTCTTAATGGCCTCGGTAACCATATTGGAACTGGTGTCATCCTGAAAGAGTCAACAGGACAAGATTTGATTTAGGACCTTGAGCATCATGTTCAATGATGCACCAACACTTCACTGTAAGTATATGCATTCTGTATATGGCCTGTAGTGACCAACAAAAGAAGAACACTAATTTCTAAATGACAATGTTATTCTTGGTCAATCCCTACAATCTGCATTAATAATGCAATAATCCTGATTTTTTATTCGGACAATATATTTAACTGTGAGAAGATGAAATATGTTTGCATTTGTTTAAAGTATACATATCCTACTGTTACGCACATTAGATGGGATGTATTTGTCTTCATCATCGATTCCCAGAGGGACCGAAATGAGCTTCTGAAAGGCCTTCTTCATCCTCTCTCTGTCACCGATGGCGTAGTAGCACAGGATGAGGTTGAAGCCCGTCTTGATGTTGGGGCTCTCACTCATGATGTGTTCGAAAGACGTGATGGCATCCGAGTACTGACCCATGCGAACAAAGACCACGCCAATGTTCTGCATGATCTTGATCCTCATTTCTTTGTGAGCGTTGGAGATCTGATCCAGCGCCATTCGGTAGAACTTGATGGCTTTGGGGTAGTTTTTCTGTTTGAAGTAGATGTTGGCCATGTTGACCTTTAGTCGGCCTGTGAGGGGAAAATAGGACGACTTATACAAAAAGCCCAGAGTGTCTAAGGTTATTTCAACCATTGCTGGAGGGCCAAACAGTTTCAGTCATATTTATCATAAAACACTAAAAGTTACAGTGGTTTGTATCTGTGTTCCCTTTTATTCTTATCCATGTGCAACGGTTTATAAAACAATATATAGACAGCAAGATGTTGTTGTTGTGCACTTTTCATTTAAACTATTTCAGCTTTTACTGATGTTGCTAACAGACCAGTCAGACAGGAATAGTACAGAACATCCTCTCTGGTTTTACTGGCTTATAAAACATAAGAATTTCTGTCACATCTGCTTTGGTGCATTCACGAGAGCCGCCGCAAAACACATCTGTCATCTGTGTGAGGCTGACGAGTCTGCTCACCTGCATTATTGAACATCTTGTTCTTCACAATGACTTGGTAGCTGTTCAGGGCCTCGGGGTACATTTCATTGTTTTCATACTGGTTGGCAAGGTTCAGCAAAACCTGGTAATGACAGAAATATTCAATATTTTGAAGTCAAATAATTTCAAACCCAGACAATCTGGGGTTTCTGCAGGTTTCTGCAGGTTTCTGCAAGACCTGTTTTCAATATGACAGATATAATTATAAGTGGGTTAACCAAAGATGCTCCTTAAATTTTTATGCACATAATATTAAACTACAGGAATTAAATGCTCCAGTTTTTCACGTCCAGACATTAGAACAGCCATACTTACCGAGTAGGTGAGATCTAAATTGATGTGTTCAGCATTTCCAGTCTGTTCCCTCTGTCTCACCAGTGCTCTCTCCTTCCTCCCTGCCTCCTTAGCTTTTTCAAGAGCCTGTAGAATCACATCACACATGCGTGCGCGCGCACACACACACACACACGCACACATATACACACGCATACACATACACACGGTTTACAGTTGACACTTGTCACTCTTCACTGCCTCATCCAAATCCAAACAGCCATTATCATCTAACACTATGTTATTGTTGAACAGAATCTGACCAGTTGTAAGGCTCCTATGCTCTGTGCCATGCAGCTCTCTTCTACCAAGTCATTCACTTTCTTCTCCAGGATCTTGATCTTCTCCTCAGGCCTAAAAGATCACAGGCACAGAAATACAATGTGAGATATTGGAGCTTGAAAGCATGAATTATACAAATGTAGTAGTTGTAGCTTCACTCTAAAGTCTTTTCTTCGAATGATTGCTTGTAGCTTTTTAAAAATTGCAATAATAACTAACATCAAGATTCTATACAACAGATCTGAACACTTTTATGAAAGTCTCTCCATAGCACACTGCAAATGAGAAAATGCAGAGTGTGGATGATGCAGCAATATTCTTCAAAGAAATGTTCAACTCACGTGTCCTCATTCTTGGCTTCTAGAGGGGGGGCAGGGCCTCTGGACTGTCCCAGAGGGTCGAAGGTTGAGCCTAAAAAAAAAAGTTACACAGCTACAGTTTGTTTTCATTGATCATTTAATGTAATAGAGATAACTGATACTAAGGAATAGAAGAAAAATTCGAGGGTTTCCGAATAGTGGAATAAATAAATAAAGTCCTGCTAACTACACCCTGAGTAAAATACTGACACTACAACTGTGTCTTTTGAACAACTTCCACAGCTGCAGAATCACAAGCTAACAACTGAGCATATCGAGACTGAATCTCACTCACCACGAGTCAGGGAGGAGGTGTAACCTGCGGCTCTTACAGCAGTCATTGGTCGGGCGGCTCCATCCTGTTACATTTCATGAGATGGTCAGTGAGCTTTGATTAAATACACGATATTGCCCCTAAAACTTTGCAAATGCTGCTATAAAGCCTATAACTAAAAATGAGCACTAAATCCCTCTCACCTGCACAGCTCCAGTCACAGGACGGCCCAGTGAAGATGTCAAAGGGATCCGAGACTTCATGACACAAAATGATTGAGTCATGTTTACCTGACAATATTTTTAACTGTGCAAATATGAGACCAAAACATTTTCATTGTTAAATTCCACTGCATCTCACTGTACTTACTCCAAATGAAGTAGCTAAAGGCCGAGCTCCGATGGCGGTGCCGGGAAATTTGGCAGTCATCTGGGAAAATCAAAGATGTAGTCATTTTAATTTCCATTTATATATGTGTTTACATGGAAACTTAAACGAGTTCAGTACAAACACACAGGCAGAAGAGGACAGCACTCACCGGGGGTCTTCTTCCATGACTGGTCCTCACTGCTTGCTGGAAGCCTGCATCATTCTCCAACTCCTTTAAAATTCAGAAGTAATGAACTAATAACAACACATCTGTATTCTTCACACACAACAAACGACCAATGCATTGTTAGACGTTCTCACCTAAAGAGCGAAAAGTTACGTCAGATAATCCTGAGTAGTAGTTACTAGTTGTTTAGCATTAACAGCAGTGGAGCTCCATCATGTAGCATAGGTGCTAACTCACCTCGGAGTCAAATGTTGGATTGTAGTCGTTGTAACCGGAGTAAAGATCCTCCTCCTCCTCCTCCAGAGCCAGGTGCACATTTTCCATTTCTCCCCTTCTCCTCCTGGAGGTGCGCTGACGGAGAGTCTAGACACAAGGAGAGAAAACACGTCGCTTCTTCGGGCAGCGGCAAGAAGTCCGTTTGTTGTCGTTTCACAGGATCAATCCCACAATTCACAGCGGTATGGGTGGGACAATCGGGATTCCAAGCTTCCGATTGGTTAATTGCGCGTCCATCATCGCCCGGCTGCAATTTCATTGGCTGGGGCTGATTTCGGCCGTTGCCAGGATACAAGCTCGTCCTGCTTCTGTTGTCGGAGCTGACTGGAACTTTATCTTAAATTAAGAAAATAACTTAATACATCACTAACTAATACACGTTTTTAATCCAGCGAGTAATACACTTACCTTTATATATGTGTGTATATATATTATTGTACTCGTTAGTTTTGTTCCTTCTTGGTTGCCGTAGCATTTAGCAGCGTGACTCCAGAGGGGCGGTGCTACAGGTTTGATAGAAAATCCTCTTTTTCGGCAAAGTTACTGATCTGAGATCCGATCTGAACCCGAAACACCTGAGCAATGAGCCAGTCCGACATGAAGACGATCGCAGTCATCGGCAGGTGAGTCACGACACGTTGTTTTTGCCTTAATGCTAATGTTTACCACCTTGTTTTATGCTAGTTGTTGACAGTTTTTCAAGTTGCTGAAATCGCTGCATTTGCACTTTGTGGTACATCATCTGTGTTTTTGCACGTATTTGTAGTTGAGTTATTGTGTTGTTCAGTTTAATGTAGTTATATTCTGTATGTGTGCTTGGAACTCAAGTCTCCTGTGCTTAATATGTGTATCCTCTCATTTAGTTGTAATTATAAGCCTGGTTGTTACATGGGCAAACCCCAAAGCACCTTATGAAGTAGCCTCAATAGTTGTAGTTTATATGTAGGCCTTCATTTTAACCTCCTGTCTGTTCCCTGTTCACTGTTTCCACAGTTAAACCTTGCAGTCGTCTGAAGTGACCTCTCTCAACCCTGAAAAGCAAATACAAAACAGAACATGGCAGACAGATGTTTGCTCCTCTTTTAGTTTAATTAACATGCATTATTCTCTTCTCTTCATAGACTTGGAAAAACCTGTTCATGACAAAACACTTAACGGGTTCATGTGTAAACCACGTGACAAGACAGGAACAAGAAGGAACCTGGGATCAGCATGTTTGAGCAGTGAGGGGGGGGTAAAGGATAACAAGCAGACACAAGCCATTAAAAACTTACCAACAGTAACGAGCTCAGACAAGATGCAAGGCCTTTACTGTGCATTTGACCTCTCTTGATTAGCTGGGAAATGGTTGTCCAGATTGTTCTGAGGGATTTCTGTGTCATTACACAGTGTTCAGTGAAAAGTGAATGTCCTAAATGTGTGTGTGTGATTGTGTGTCTCTGTTTCAGTGGGCTGATTGGTCGCTCCTGGGCTATGGTGTTTGCCAGCGGAGGCTACAGCGTGAAGATCTATGACAACCAGCCAGGACAGGCCGTTAACGCCCTCGCAGAAATAAGGTCCACCCTGCTGCACAACAATGCAGTCTTTGTTCAGCATAATGTAAAAAACCTTTGTGAAGTTTTCATTAATGTGGTTTGGGTGTTTACCCCGATAGGTTGCACCTCAAATCAACTTGCAAGATTTAAGATTCTCCCACAGCTGAACTGTGCTTGATTCAGAGAGGATGATTTCTCTGTCGTACAGATAAATGATACGGATTAAAGGCAACTGAACAGTGAGGACTTGAGAAGGAGAGTCGTGATGCAAAGCAGGAGAAAGGAGGAGAGAGCGAGAGTCACTTAGGCAGCATTAACTTCAATTCACCCATGACTCTTGAGGGCCAAGCCTGTTCTTCCCTCCAGAACTCACAAGGATGACCTATGGATCAGTGGCTTCCTCTTTCTATAGCAGCACATGAACAAACACAAGGTCAGGCTTAAAAAGTTTCCCAGCCATGTCATCGCTGGTTAAACATTACTGTGGAATGACAAAGGAATTTTTCTTAAAGCCTTACATTGGAAAGTAGTGTCAGTAAAAAGAAGCAAGCTAATTAGAAGAGTTTAAGACACAAATTCTACACCAGGTTTTATTAAATGTATGTATCATATAAATCACCAATCTGCTCTATCTCTCAGCCCCTTGTAGATTCTGTTTTATCGTTGACCTTGTGGACAGTAGAGGGTGTCATTGTACTAGACTGTCTGAAATCCAATGTCCTGTCTCTATAATACATGTTAAACACTGTAGGAAATATATGTGTTACATTATTTTCAGGTATGTTTGTTACTCATCTGATACAATATTTGCTAAAAACGTGGGAGCTGTTTCTGAAAGAGCCATTTAATTCTGGTTGAGGTGGAAAAAACTGTACATTCAAATATTTCTTTTTAAATCTGCATAATCTCTACAGTATCTTTATATTTATGTCATGACAAAACATCACGTTTCACATTCAGTGAGTGTATGGTTGAGTGTTATAGCTGCCTCTTTCACTCTGTTGGCTCAGGAAGCAGCTGCAGGAGCTGGAGGAAGCTCATATGCTCAGAGGAGAGCTGAGTGCCGCACAGCAGCTCGCTCTGCTCAGCAGCTACGATGACCTGGCTCAGGCACTGGAGGGAGCCTTCTTTGTCCAGGTAACACACCAGAATACTCCCAGCACCAGTACATGTCATTCTGTCAGCTTGTCCCCCCGTGTTTAAACTCAAGGGAATTTCACATCGATTGTTTTTTTGCTGATTTGATCTTATTGTTTGCACATCACACATTTGACATGTTTTCCCACATGTTGTCAAACCTTGTCAAAACCTTGGGCCATTGTGTCTCCGCCCACTTCGATGTGACAAATTTAAAGAAAGTTGTTTCTAGTAGTTTGTTGAAGGAAAATAACTTGTTGTCTTTATTAATTTATTCTTTCATCATATATATTAAGTCATGCACAATTAATAAAACTTATAACAATAATCCTATTGCATCACATTGTGGTTTTTCAGAATTACACTGATTATCCTCAAGGGGGCGCAACATCGTCAGGTCTGATGTAATTTTGTGTCACATACAATTCTCAGATGAGTTCAGGTGTTTTATAAAGTGACACTGGCTCAGGTGTGGTTCTTCATTCATTCCTTCCTTCTGTGTGGTTGAGTCTACCTTCGTAAATAATCATTTCTACTGTTTACAGTAAAGAAAACAAAAGGCCTTATTTTCCTTCACCTTTATTTGATCTAACTTGCTGTAATAGCAAGAATAATCCATTTTAAAGTTACGTTAGTGTTTTAACAGCGTGGACTCTGAGCTGTGAATTTTATGTGCAACATGTAAAGCTCCAATTTTTTTAAAAATTATTTCCTACAAAGTTCTGAATGTTAATTATGATACAAAGCAGATGTTTATCATAGATGTAGGTGCAGTTATGATTTTTGACCGCACCTACATCATCATCATCATTACAACGCATTTTTCTCAGGCTGATTTGTGTAGTACAACTTGTTAAATATGATAATTAAGTTATAAATACGTTGTTCATATCTTAATCTAAACCTTAACATTTCTACCTAAACTCTGAACAGTCATGAGCCGTCTGTTAAACTAACAAAGGTTTGACTCGACAAAAGGTTGAGAGGTTGTCAAAACAAGTGTTGCCCTCCTGTTTAAAAAGGTACATGACGTTTAACACCAAATCACTCATCTTGCTTTTGTCGCCTTAAGAGGACAAACACAAAACCAACACCTGCACACTTGCTTATCTTAACTCAGTGGTGTGTAACGCTGCCACTTGAAACAAAATAGTGAGTTAACTTTTTAAGCCAAGGAAGTGTCTCGCTTGACTCAGGTGACGAAGACAATGGTGCTCTTCATCTCTACAGCACAGAGACGGGTAGGGTCAGAATAAATCAATGTCCTGTACTGAGTTCCCACTAACCATGAACAATAGAGGATGTATTAGATACAAGGAAAAACAGGTAGATTATTGTTTTAATGCTCAAATAATGACATCAGCAGTTCCTGATAAGATGACTCAATGAGAGGCAAGTTTTAGTAACACTAGATAATAGACTGTGTTTACAATGCCACACACATTTTAGCATTAATGAAATTGTGAAGTGTTATGCAATAAAAGCTGACTTTAAAAATATACATAATAGACTGAAAATTCCCTTGATCAAAGGATAAAAAGTCTGATTTGAAGTGACTTGTTGTTAGAACAGAAAAACTCTTGTGCTCTAATGAGTGGAGCATCTCATCATTACACATGCTTTCTTCAGGTATGCTGCTTGCTCAGCCAGTTTTTGGAGAAATGAAGAAATGTTATTTTAACGCTCCACTACCGCCTGCAAGAGCCACTCCTCCGGACGTGAAATATCCAGCTCAGCCTGAGGTGGATAACTAAAAAAGTAGTGGTTGTATTTTGTTTTAAAATGTAAAGAATATGACATTTGAGTGGATTCTTCGAAGCCCTTGTATTGCAGCAATATAATAGTTAAGCACTTAATAGGAATATTTTCATTTGCTGTGATGTCCTGCTGAAGAAAGTTTGACAGCACCAGCATTTCCTTAAGTCACATCAGAAATTTAGACCTCAGTCACGTGGTTTTGGTTTGGTTTCCTTGGAAGGTTTTGATTTGGAAGTCTCTGGAAATTTGGCGGCAGTTGGATCAAGCTTAGAAAGTGGCACCAGAGTGCGGTCTTTATTTTTCAGATAAAGATAAAATATCGTCTATACACCCTCCAGCGTTACACTGATCTTCATCAGACTACAGCAGACCCAAACAGATAGATATTTATAGAATATTTTCAGAAGCTATGTGAAGTAGTTGTTGACGCTTATACCAAGAAACTAGGTTTCAGTTCATTGTTTGATGAGATTTTTCATATTTGACTTATCCAAGCCAGTTTGACCACAAATTGTGCAAAGGTAGAGGAGTAGGTCACCCAAAATTAAAATTTCTGAAGTGAAGTATTACCTGGAAAAGAAAATGGTGATCTTCACTGTACTGCTTTGGTAATGCTCTGCGAAAATACAGATTTGTTGTTTATGAAGAGCTGCACGCTAGTGTTGGATGAGGGTTAAGATTGAAATCTTATAATAATAATTTTTTAGAAATGAATTCTTCTAAAGTCTTCACAGCCTCTTTTCTGTCACATATCTGTGTTTGTGTTTTTCAGGAGTGTGTGTTTGAGCAGCTCGAAGTGAAGCAGACCATCTTCCAGGACATAGAGCGTCTTGTGGGAAAAGACGTCATCCTGAGCAGCTCCACCTCTTGTCTGGTGCCAAGCAGCGTCTTCTCTAAAGTCCACAACAAGAGTCGCTGCGTCGTCTCCCACCCGGTTAGTGCCACGGCAGTCCTGGTACCAGCAGTTCGTTTAAACTGTGGAAGCTAGTTTTCTGCTCTTATTGAACACAGTTCCTGAGATGCTCAGAAATCACGACACAACTAATGCACATAGATGAAGAGAAACCTGGATACTGTTATGATCAACATCAGATCCCAAATACGATCAAAGACCAAGAAAAGACTCATGTCTCATGTAAACACACTCGTTGTTTTCCTTTTCCTTTTACAAAGAACTAGAAGAAGAAACGTCTCTAAATTTCCACTGTTTGATGTGTTAACGTCCTGTGCTCCCAGGTTAACCCACCCTACTTTGTCAAACTGGTAGAGCTGGTACCTCACCCAGAGACAGCAGCAACCATTATGGACACCACCCATGCTGTGATGACCAAGGTAAAGATCACACATTACACAATCCCTGGGTGTTTTGTGAATAAAAATAAATGACTGATCTGATCTTGCAAACCCTTTAACCATTATAATTTGTTTTTGTCAGTTTGATTGTATATCACAAAGCCTAGTCACAGGTCTCTAAATTCTGTAATCACCTTGGTGCTTGGTGGTGTTACAACACACCCATACAAAAAATTTACATAGTTCACTGAAGGATTATTTAATCCAGGAAATTCTCAAATTCCCAAAAATATGAACAAGATGGGTTTCAACTTGCTGAAGTTACAGGAAACCAATGGTTTCCTGGTGAGAAGCGTGTCAGGTCAAATCCCTCGGTGCACTTATAGCGTCATTGGCCAAATGATGGTTTAACTCTTCAACTGGTTCTCAGAAGCTTTGTTGGTGAATCCTAGCTCCTTAAACAGATTTAAACCTCAGAAAAGTAACATTTACAATCAGTTTTTGAATGAACTTCACTGTCTATCTTGAGTGTCAATGCAGACAACATGCATCCCTTTATTGCCACCGTCTCTGGCTCCTTCCAGCACGATAATGCACCATGTCACAAAGCAGAAGTCATCTCTCACCAACTTCATGAACACAACAGTGACTTCAGAGCACTTTCACAGTCTCTAGATCAGAGGAGAGCACCTGTGGGGAGTGGCAGAGCGGGTCGTTAGCAGCAGATAACTAATAAATCTGCAGATGTGATGTGAGGCTGTCGTGCCAACACACACAACCTCAAAGGAAAGTTTCCAGTATCTTGTGGAATCTATGGAAGCTACGAGAGGCCCTACCCTGTCTAAGTAAACAGTTCACTTAGAGTATAGACCAATTACAAAATACCACTTTTAGCTGTTCTAATTAATGAATAACAATCTCTTATAGAGCGCTATTGAAACACATATTTCAATTTACTATAAAATATTTGAATATACACTTTTTATCTATAGTATTAAACCCTGAAAATAATGCTTTGTTTTATATTTTATTGCCAAATCACACTGTAATAACATTGCATTAGTTTAACTTTTGAAAAAGCATTTTCTTGTATGTACATAACATCAGGTAAAAAACCAGCTGCTAAACAAAGACATTTTCCTTTGTGAATAAATTATACAGTTTTTTATTCTCTGTCCTTTTTCTCCTGATAGCGTTAGACTTTCAAAATAAAAGCACCAGCCTTTTAAATAATCTAACAGGACAATGAATAACAGCTGTAAGAAAACACCTGTCAAATGAATACATATAAAAACAACAGTATATACAGGTATACTAGATAATAGTAAAATGTATTCACAGCACAGGCAGTGATTTAAATAGTGCTGTTTACCATTCCTGGTGTGACGGATTTCTCTTGATCCAGGTCGGCCAAGTTCCTGTTTGCCTGAGGAGAGAGATCGATGGCTTCGCCCTCAACAGAGTCCAGGCGGCCATCATCGCAGAGTCCTGGAGGCTGGTCCAGGTCAGTGTCTCAGTGGCCACTCAGGCACTTAATTACACTTATTTATCAGTTTTTTCCTTTTGGATATTTTCTCTACTGTTAAATTATGTGAAAAGGACAAAACATCAGAGTTAAGGACAAAAATATTTGGTTAGAATTTAAATGGGACTAATTGACATCTAATTTAACAAGAATAATCTGCATTAGAAATGATTAAATCTGAACCACAGTTACTATGAAATGAAGCCAAACCACAGTTCTGCCACAGGTCAGCTAGATTAATAGCTGAGAGCCATTTCTAGCCCTGGCCATAGCAATCACATTAACTGGAACATAACGCATTTTATAAATAGACATGAAATAGTAAAAAAAAAAATTAACCCACGATATCTCAAGAATGCTTTGAAAGGAATTTCTTCGAGTTTTGTACAATTATTCACTTGGACTCAAAGATGAAGTGATTATTTTGGTGCCCATAGGTCAAAGGTCAAGATGACCATGTTACTGTGTTTCAGTCGTCAAAGGTAAAGTGACGTTTATATGGGGGAAAAAGTATGTAGAAATATGTACACAGAAACTGCACTGGTTTGAGGAGGCAGACAACCGCAGTGCAGTAATTCTAGTTATTTCTGAACAAGAGCTGCTCAGTCTCAGGGAGGCTTTGTGCCGCTGATGGTTTTGTAAAAGAGGCAGAAAAGAGGAAACCTCTTGTCCGCTCACCTCTGCCAAAGTCTCTGTGGTCTCCTTCCAAAAAGGAACAGAATGAGAGTAAATGAGCTTTAGCCTCTGATGACAGGCACCATTATAACATCATTCATAGGAAGAATGGTCAGAATGATAATGACCATTTTCATCCTGAGCTGAACTCAAATGAAGACTCGTTTCATTGGGATTCAGAATTTAAACTCTGTAAACATCAGTATTATCTCAACTTACCTTCAATGGTAAAAGGTGAGAATGAATTTTGACCTCTTCCTCTTGTTCATCCTGACCCTGAAAAAAGTCCTACATCCACATCATGATCCAGATCTGCACCAAACTTTAATTGGTTCTTCCTGACCCAAGTTTTGTGTTCATCTGTTTTTTTGTGTAATCCTGCTAAATAACAAACGCAGACAAGGACATTACCTTCTCGGCTGAGGTTATTAAATTCTCACAACATCTACATTTCCACTGCGTTCTTAAACAAACCAAGAATAAATTACATTGCCAGAACCATGTTAAATCTGAGAAAAGAACCCAGACGTGACCCTGATGAATCACAACAATCTGTTAGAACAAACCATCTCTCCTTCCACGGGAACTCAGATCAGTGTCTCTCTCTCTCTCTCCACCTCTTTCTTCCATCACTTTTCTCTGTCAGAGACGTGTAACAAAGAGCTGCCCTTTCACAGCTCAGCAAGCACTTTGTCCTTGTCGGTGTAGTTACTGTACTTCTGAGCTACAGTGTGTAACTGTACCAGATGGACATCGACAATGTCCTGGGTGTGAAGCCGTTAAGGACAATTAAAGTACATCAAGAGCAGGACTGACGAATCTTTTTCAAGCAGATGTAAAAACATGTGATAATTTCTTCACAATGCAGAAGTGCGTGACTGCCTCTCATCAGACTATCCCTCATTTCTCTTTATTATTGAAACGGATTAATCAGTGAATGGTTGAGTCATCACTGATGAGGTGTGTACCGACAGCTCAGTGTCCTTGTGCATTTTAAATACTTGTTAACACGTACTTGAAGCACAGTGAAGACTGAGTTCCTTCAGTTTCAAATTTGTCATGAATAAAAATGGATAAAACCAGAGTGTTGGCGCTGGTGGAGCGGATTCTGACAGTTGAAGCTACGAGTTCTTCTCACAGTAGATCGAACCCTCTCACCAAAGAGCAGAGAGCAGAAGTTCAGGGTGAAGAGTGGGAATGAAAGGGGGAACATTCTCTATATTCATAAACACTCAACCATCAAACTCACGAACACTGCTCAGCAATCTATTGAAACATTCTATTGATAGATTTACATTTTCCGTCTATTCTTCATCATCGAAATAAAACAATCCATGTGATCTATTAGATTGCTTTGTGTTTCCTTCATCCCATGACGTTTTCTGCAGTAGAATCAAATGATGGAAGCAGCACAACCATGGAATGAAAAGTGACCTGTCGTCTGAGCAGGTCTAACACATTTACAGGTTTAAATCTAACGAGGCGGATTCCAGTGCTTGACATTTGAGTGTCAACAAGAATGTCACTGGATTAGCTCCATTACAGGATCCTCAGGGTAACTTTTGCATCTTTAAGAATTCTCCAAGTGCTTTCAATGTTCAGACGTCTTTCTGTGAAAGCAAATGAACTGAAGGACAAGTTTGAAAATGGCACACAAGCCCTAATGGGTACGTGCTGTAGCTTGTGGAATTCAAGACTATGTGAAATTCATATATTCACAGACACATGGACTCAGTACGCTGAGGATTGGAACCCAACCGGTATTTACTCTCTCGCCTGGTCTGTGTCACAGTTCAATTATAGATGAAATGAACACATACATATATATTATATCACTGCAATAAATCATATTGTTAGAGACTTCATTTGCTTCAAATTTGTTGAGAGAAGTGTTGTTTATATGTTGTTTTTTTTTTTACCACAATGGCTCAATGGATATCAATTAAATTTTTTATTCAAACTGAAATATCTAAAATTCCATTCGATCACTTAATGATCATCCCTCCAGCTCCACCATGACATACGTGGCGTTGAGTTGAATATCTTGTTCTGCAGAGCAATCAGACACAGCGAGGAGACGAGATGTATAAAAGTTATTTTATTTAGGTGTTTTATTGAAAACAGAGAGCTGCTTCAGCCTCAGGTTAAACTCTGCGTTTCTGATCCTACGAGGCTGGTTCACTTCTTACCAGGCTAAATCACCATGGTAACGTGCTCAAGGAGATTGTTTTCATAACTGTGTTTGTGAAATTGTTTAGGTTATCAGACCACTTCTGTTTTTCGTTCATATTTCAGCTACAAGAACGATTGAAACCCATTGAAAAACGAATTATTTCTGAATAATTTTCTTTTTGTACGTGAAAGTGAAACATGTGACACTTTTAACAGTTGTTGTGTATTCGTCACTCACCTCAGTCATATGGGCAGAAAGCGTGGGGTTACCTGCTTCAAGAGATTTGGGCTTTTCACAGTTTGGACTGTTTCACGTTTGTTTTGTAATTTTTTCTCTCTCCTCAAACGACTCTGGATTCTTTGTCTCAAGAGGATTGTCTCGCTGCGTTGATGAGTCAAGTGGGCCTTCAGTCACCGGGTTTCAGCTTCTGAGAATTTAAGTGTACTTCAAGGAGATTACAGTGTTCCTCTCCCTCCTGATGGTATCCATGCATCTCCCGTGGGATATTTATGTCTTCACACTGGCCTGTGGAAGCAAAGACTCATATCGACATGACATTCCATAGAGCATGGTGCACTCATGTGTGAGCTCTTGTTGAGCGTGAACACTGGGGGCATCCTCTGACCGTTAACAGTGAAATAGAAAGAAAAATGAGAAGCTTCTACATGACACCCATGGATAGTTGCAACAATAGAATCACAGGATAACAAGTTACACAAAGTCTTGTGTATATTGTGAATGTACAGTCTTTAATTATTATTTATTCCCATTTTTAACCAAGAGCTCCACGTTGACCACAGATTCATCTGATCGATTTGGATGTGTGAGAATAACCAACCAGTTTGTTAATGAGAAAGTTTTCGCCAAATTTTTTTAAATGTCATCATGTAAACCTTCAGAAAAATCTAACAATACCCCGATTATTTACTGTTATAAATCACTAGTACGTGACCGTTTGCACGGTTTGCAAAATTTCACAATTTTAAAAAACAAAGTCAAACCTGTCATACAGGAACGTTTGTTCTGTGAGTTCCTCTCGTCAAAGTTGATCAGCAGGTAAATCTTGAACATGAGGCAGTGGCCGCTGTCACTGTGTGGGCGTGGCTCTAATTAAGTCACGGTGGCTGTCTAAGTGGAGTGGAATGTGTTTTGAGGAGAAAAGATTATTCATAACAAAGGGAATCCTATGTTGCTCCCCACCAGAGATGGAGACGAGCTGTGAATCTTTATTGCTGCTTCGCCAAGAACAGAGAACCTCGATGAACCAGCTGACCTGAGCCGTAACCGGCTGTCACACCATGTGACTAAAACGAATTGATTTACAGTGTAAGTGTAACTTCTCGGAACACGCTGGACTAAATTTATATTCCAGGACTAACAAAGTCTGATGTGATGGGAAGAGGCAACACACCAGTGCATGAAGTGTTCACAATTACTGTCATATCACCAGTTACATAAATAACTGCTCTATTTAATTTAGTTTAAAACTTTATACTGTTCACCTGTTATCCTATTACTATTATCATTTGTATGCTCGTGTCTGTATTCACTTTTGTCAAAAATGAAAATATCTCACATGGGTTGTGAAAATAATAAGACTTTCCTCATGGGTGACACACCTGAGGAGCTATTGCAGCAATTAGTGGTTGTTACCAACTGTAATTTGCCAATTGGAAATGTTGATGATCAGGAAATTGGTTTGGCGGCGCTGACATTTTGACATGAATATCAACAATGGTTTTCGATGTTTCTGTTGCTGTTACAATTGTATCTCAACCTTTATAAAGGAATCAAGGAGAGTTTAAAACTACATCCTCGGCACTATTAAAGCTATTTACTGCATTGTATGACAAGTGTATGAAGCGTTTGTGAGGTATACATCAGTTATGAGTGACTGAGAAGTTTTCCCTCCCACTCCTGGATCAAAACATCAGTAACTACAATGGCTTCTTCCCTGACCCACACCACCTCCTTCCACCAAGTGTTGTGGTCATTCTTTTTTGAGTTATCTTGCTAACTAACAAACAAACGACTGGGATGAAACAACCCAACATAGGTAACGACCTGAGGTTAAGCTGTGACCATCAGGGCCTGTGGTGTCATAACAATACATAACCGGGACCCTCCCAAAATACACTCACTGAAATGACCCTTGAGTCGGGGCCAGTGTTGGAAAGCAGAGTGGCTGAGAAAGCAGCTTGCTGGCCCCAGTGATTACAGCGGAGAAAAGACCCCACCCACCGTCCCGCTTGGCTCAGATAACAGGCCCGTTGTTGGACGTGGGACCCAAACAAAGACGACCCTGTCCCCCTCCTCCTGCTCACCCTACTCTCTGTATCGGAGCTTTGATTTCCTGCGTGGTCAAGCCAACAGGCATCTCTAACCCAAAGATACCTGAACCACTCCCTCTGTCTCCGCTTCCATCCATCTCTCTATCCTCAGCCCCTCTCCTCCCTGCACTGCCCACATAATCCTGAGGACACAGAATTGGCTGATTAGGGAAACATTATATGTTGGGAGTAGTCCGATTCGATCAAAGGGAATTTAGTTGGTCCAAAATCCCAGTGGGTTAAAATCCATGACTTTGTTGATCTCCCAGTGGAAATATGGTCCAACACCCTCAGACTAAATACACTTAAGCTTCAAATAATGGTAAATTACTTTTGTTTTGGTGGTTAAAGGTAAAGATCATTTTGACCTTGTGTACACGATGTCTCATCAACACCTCAAGGGAATTGATTCCAAATTTTGTGCAAATGTTCCTTTGGACTAAAAAATGAAGCCCTTAGAATTTGGTGGTCAGAGGTCAAAGGTCAAGGTCACTGTGACCTTACAAATGTTTTTGGACAAGTTGTAACTTGGACTCAAAGATGACTTGATAAAATCTCAGTGTTCAATGGTCAAAGGTCACGATGACCTCATATGTGTCTAGAAAGTAAAGTATTTCTCTGGTTCAGGGATTGAATGAGCGCAGAGTAGTAATTCTCAGCTGTTCCCTGTTTAACCTGCACTGGCAGATAAAGGACATATTTGTCTGTAACGCTGCTGCAGGGACATCTAGTCATACATTTACTGGCTGACTGATTTGTCCCTTTTTGTAAGGAATACAATCAAGTCAATGGAATGGGCTGAAGTGTCTGAACCCTTTTTTTTTCCCTCTTACCTCATCAGGATGGCGTTATCTCAGTCAAGGACATCGACCTGGTGATGTCAGAGGGGTTAGGAATGCGTTACGCTTTCATTGGTCCCATGGAAACGATTCACCTCAATGCACCTGAAGGTAACGTTCCCTCTCTGAATGTTTTCGCTCACATAAACAGTGTCACCATCCAGAGTTCCTCCTCCAGCTCCCGATTCGATCACATTTTTCTTTGTTTGTGTGTTTGGAAGCAAAAGTAGACGACGGGCAACGATAGTGAAGGAACCAGGTTTAAAGGCAGAATGCAGAGTTTTAGAGTTCACCAATTTTACTCATGAAGTTAAGTTTCTCCAGATGATTAACTTTTGGTTCTGATCAGCTGAGGTCAACTGAATTATGGTGTGAGATGCACATTTCAGAGCACAAGTCAATCAATGACATCACCATGGATCAAAAAATATATATTTTTAAATTCAACTCAAAAGATGATTTAAAATCAAACGGTTGGAATGACAACATCTGTGAATTCTAACAGTGTTAAAGAACATGAGACAAATCCTGGTTTATTAATAAATAAATAAAATGTTGTACCCTGATCCACTGAATCATAAGTAAACTAAGAAACTATATGAAATGCTTTACGATCTTATGATATTGACTTTTTGTTAAAACATGTCAATAACTTTATCAGATAAACGAACCACCGCTGCTCAACGATAGACTGTCCTCTGTCGTACAACACCAGGCCTCAGTTTTGTAAAAACTGTGAGAGAACCACACACAGCGACACGGTTCACATGTCTCAGCACAACATGCATGTACTGTACCGTACTGTGACGCCCCTGTGGGTGGCAGAGAGAGGCTGAGAGTGAAACCACAGGGAGATGCAGAATATCAAAGGGTAGTGTGAAACCCACAGAGCAGCCAGGACTGTGTACACACACAGAAAAAGGTCGCTGTGGCCGAACAAAGCCGTCTTTTGATGGGTAGCGATGAATGCATTCCCTCACACCAGTAATCCAAAACTCACAAAGCCCACATCGAGGCCTTCAAACCAGACGCCAGCTCTACCTGTAGTGACAGTGCTGAAGCTCTCGACTCGTTCTTTTTTCTCCTGCTCAGGAAACAGTAGCATGATCGTGTTCTCCAAAGATTGCTAAGACCCAATCCTGTAGTGACTTCCCGTCCTTGTATCGTTCCAATCAGATACCGGAGCACTCAGGCTCTGTCTCTGTCTCTTTTTCCACTCTGCCCAAACAACTTGGCTCCTGTAAACCTCGTACAAGTACAGGAGAGCATTATCCTCTAAAGGAGCAGTCCACTGAAAACATGAGACTCTGAAATGTTTGTAGCTTCATCGTGATCAGCTGTGATTAAAAAGACATTTCAAATTTAAATTAAGTAATGAAATGAGGCAAAACTTGAAACTTTTAAATAACTTTCCACTCATTGTCGGCCTCTGCAGAGGTCTTCAAATATTCCTTATATTTATATTATATAAAGAGTTTCTGTGGTGAGGTCTAATCATCCACTGCACATTTTTAAATACCAGTCATGTGTGTCACTGGGATTGGTCATTGTTCCTCAATTCGTGGACAATGATGCGTAATAAAATCATTTGACAGTGGCAGCAAAAGCAAAATAAAGAACAGAGACTTGAAGGTAGAAGGTATTCATCACACCACTGTGTCATAGAATCATTTCCCACCAGGTTTTATATAAAAGATTAAGAACTATTCAAAAGACGAAAAACATTTGCAACGTGTAAGAGTCACACATTTGAATTTTCAGTGTGAAACTTCATGTGAGTGTGACAGAGCTATTTGAAACGGTCCCCCTCTGACCTGCCGTAATTAAAGAGCCGCTGTGAAGAGGTTCGTTCTCGTCTCTCTGTTGCTTCACTTTTTTTAGCTTCTTATCAGAGGAATGTCAACAAGCCATGCCCCTCTTTATGATATGTTCTGTCCAATCATTAGTTATAATGGCTGCCTCATTAGCTGCCACCATTTTTTACATTCGAATTAAGGGACACAGTCACACAGTTTGTTTAAATGAGTGATTTTAAAAAGGAGAAACAAGTCGAGCAGCAGTGGGACAAACAATTATCATCCCGACTTTTGGTTTAATTTTTTTTGACTGCCTTAACATGAAAAAAAAATTCTTGTAGAGTTTGAGTAGAAGAAATCCAGAGTCAGAGAACAGCATTCAGTAAAGTGTAAAGCTCTGCCCAGGCCCTACAGCCCCTTAAATCCTGCACCAAACCCATCACGTTTGGTTGAACATGGCTCTAAAACTATCGTAGATGCATATAAATATTGATTCTCTATTGAATCCACATTATCTTGGCTGCACATCAGCTGCAGTCACAGGTTTTTAACTTGATTTGTTATCGTAAAGCAGCTGAAAAAACCCTCCCCCACTATGAAACCTTGCACAAATTTTCCTGAGAAATCTGTGAAAATGTTAAAAAAAAAAAATCCCAGATCTTGCAATGTTAAATATTCCTAGATCTGCCCCTTTGTCCGAATCCATGGCAAAATCGAATGGGTTCTTTCTTGACCCATGTCTCTCACTTTCACAAACTTTAGTCCTGCAGACGAACAAACCAGGACCGGGGTGAAAACATAACCTCCTCGGCAAAGGTAATGAACCAGTCGATCAGGGTAACACATAAATCAGAGCTCATTCAAAATACCTGCTGTCTACTTGACAAGTCGATCATTCAAGAATAATTATTGAGAACAATCAGGAGAATAACTGCGAGGAAAGTAAAACTAAGTGACAGTTATTTATGAGGCACTCTCACCAAGCACGTCACTTGGCAACATAAATTTAAGTTCTTGAACACATCTTGACATTTTTCTCTGTGGGTTTCTGTGGCATCAACACGTTTAAGAGACTGATAACGATCCAAGAATAATCAGATGCAGGAAAACAGACAAGATAACATGTGTGATAACAGTGATGAATAGACTTTTGTGAGGGACGTCAGCCGGAAAACTTGTGCAGTCTAGTGCTGAAACATGCAGAACAAATACAATCCCAGTTACAATCACAACTTCTGTAGTTGTACATTCAGGGTATGGCTGCTTGTATATATACAGTATCTATATATATATATATATATATAGTAGTATTTTTTATACAGTAACGTGCAGGTGTTCTGCACACAAAAGGGTGTTATAGACAGACGTCATAGATGTAAGTCACGGAGGCTTGCAGAGGACATAATGTGAATACCTTCTAAAATGTTTTTACAGCCCTGGGTGTCATTTGTTGAACCAGTTTGCATCAGGAGGTGGGTTCACACCAGGAAACACTCACTGGATGTTCCGTCTAAAGAAGTACAAGAGAAGCTGAATGTCTCCGTACAAAACATCTGCATGTGTCTCAGCTTTTACCTTTTACCTCTACGAAATTGTAACATTTTGCTGTCGTGGTTTTTCACATTAAGAGCCAGTAACTCTCTACTGTACCAGCCCCCCTCTGATCAGCTGTCCTCCCACAGGTTTGGAAGACTACATGAAACGCTACGGCGAAGGCATAGCGAGGGTCCTGACCTCCTTCGGGCCTGTACCAGACTTCCAGGGCGAGGGAGCTAAGAGAATCAATCATGTGAGTGTGACAGCAACGTTTCCTCATGTATGATTTCTCGCTACCGATTCAGTTGGATGAAACTAATGATCGCTGATGGTTTCTTTAGTTCTGCGTGACTGAAATGCACGACTTCCTTGGTATAGGCGTTGTTTGGTCACATGCTCTCACAGGCTGTTGAAATGTGAACAACGCAGGGTCATCATGTGAAGGAACAAAAAATAGCTTAGCGAAGCACTTTAGAGGACAAAAGAAGTCGCTCTTGTTTTCAAAGTCTCTTGTTGTTTTCTCTAATCGTCTTCGAATGTTCATTAAAGCAGCCACGTTCCTGTCTCACATTCATCCTTTAAACACGTTTTCACACATTAGGTTCAGTGATGCGTGCAAGAACAAAAACGTTTCCACTACATTAACTTCAGCTGAGGGTTTAAAGGTTTATTCCACTGAAAAGCTTCTTCATAGGGGACAACAGGCTCATACACACAGTTTACTTTTCTAATTAATCTTTATTTAAGTTAAAAGTCTTGTGAGGCTACATCCACGTTAGTACGTTTTAGTTTAAAAACGTATTAACTCCTTTGCGTTCTTTGCAGAAAAAAAGATGTTGGGAAAGAATTACATAGACACTCTCAACCAGCAGCTGATTGGGTCTTTTTGTAACTTCAGTTGATTCTTCAGGCTCCGATCACATGAACCCCTCATCCTGAAGAAAACAACCAGCACCAGCCTCGGTTATTAGCGTAGAACACAACGTGGATAATCACTTATGTTGCTGACCCCGTTGTCTTTGCTTAACAGCTGTTGTGCAGTTAAATTCTGATTTGAAGCCAAAACGCAGACAGAAATGGTTTTATTTTGAAAAATGCTGTGTTATGGATGTAGCCTGAGATTTCCAATCTCTTTTTCAAGGTCACGTTCAAAATCGACAAATAAATGCAACACAACAGAGAGTTAAAAAATAAAAGCAACACAACAGAGAAGCGTGAAAACTGGCAGATAACAAAGATTTTAAATCACAGAGAACGTTGCAGGAGATTCCAGCAGCAAACTTCAGTCACAAAGAAAGTTTAAACTCATCCAGAAAACTTCTCAAACATCTATAAGTTCTCTGCTGTCTGTCAACGAGCTTTTCTTCATCGCAAATTAAAGTTCAAATGGAACAATCAATCATGCATTTGTAAATGATCCTCACTCGTCTCTCATCTCTCGTTTTATTGGGCTTTTTCATATGATTATGCTATTGTTCCTCAATTGCTCTATAATTGAGTTTTATGAGTTTTTAAAGGCCTGTATATAGCGAAGTGATTGACAATTAGTTTAAAGTGCTGTGGTATGTGAAAAGTGCCGATGCCAACAATAAGCTTCATCGTGAGGACGCTCGGTGCGATTCCATCACAGGAACTTTCCCCAGGGGACAGGAACCTGTATTTAATAATAATTTCCACCAGAGTTAAAGTCATGTTCCAGTTGGTGGAATGGTCCAGCTCCAACCCGGTGGAAAAGAAGTGAATTTGGTCTATTTTAATTAATTTAAACTATTTTAATATTGGTTTATTTATCATTAAAGAAAAATAAACTGATTTCTACCCAACTTCGTGGAAGGATGGAGCCTCAGAAGAACTCATTATGTTTCTGATGCAGATTAAGGAATTTATTTTTATTCTCTTTCTTTATTACTGTTTTCTCCGATAGCTAAAAAACAAAACATAAAATACAACATATGAAATACTGAAAGAACAAAGTGCTGCTCTTATATGACCATGAAAAAACAAGCGGTGAATTTCCTGGTTTCCCAAAAGTTGTGCAACAAATAAATCATGTGAGGTTTGAGCTCCACTGAGTGAGCGTCTAGTTAGAAACTATAAGTTCTCATATATTGTTTCTCCCACAGGAGATGTGTGAGCTGATTCCCAATGACCAGGAGCATCTGTCGGCCAGGAGGGAGAGGAGGGACCAGCTCCTCATGGGTCTGGCGAAGCTGAAGAAGGGCCACTGAAATACATCACACATGATGAAATGTATAAGCTCATTCCTCACAAGAGGAACAGAACTCAGAACTTTTTTATGAACATTTAAAAAAAAAAAACTGTGAAGTAAGGATTCAATTTCAAACTTTATTTTTCCAAATATCCAGAATATTTTCATCTTTTTGTTTCGATCTCATGTTTTATTTAGTTTAAGCAATGGAATCAAACAATGGGATTTTATTCACTTAACACATTGTGTCTTTGTTTTGTTTTCAATAATTAAGGATGAAATAAAAAATAAAATGATGAGATTGTGAGTTCTGTGTTTGTCTCTGTCTCCATCAGCAGAACAAATTAATGATGTGTTTTACTACAGAAAACTCCTGAATCCCAGGAAACAGAGAATGGAAACATGTCAGGAGAGTCACTGAGTGTTCGCTGCTCGCTGGGACGTTTCTCCTGTTGCAGATTTAATTTCACAGAGATACCAGGCTGGAGTGACCGTCACATGATCGCTCGGCCTGCATCCGTGAAATGTGTTAAGTTAAAGTGATATTAACAAAAATACAATATCACATACAATATATGTGTAAATAAGAGTTTCAGTAAATTTGTGAATTTCA